AGGCATTTTCATTTTATTCCTAATACTGCCTGGCTTTATTGAACAACAGCTCTTCTGTATTTATGATTTCCTGACCATCAGCAGCAAGTGGACTTTATAATTAGTTTTCATTTTGGGGTTTCTTATTCCTACATACAGCTACAAATTCCCCCCAAATTCTTCTATGTTGGTCATTCTTGCTCCCGGGTTTTCCAGTATAAGAGGTGTATTAAGACTATGCCTAAATTTGGGGTCTTGGGTGGCCCCAAAATCTGAGGAATTTCTTATGAAGGTGAGGTCCGTGGTGAAGTATTTTGCTGAAGATGCTGTATTGCAAGCTATAGGTAGCAGGCTGTTATATGTATATTGCAAGCTATACATTCCTGAAAGGAGAGAAAGCCTGGTGACCTCAGCACAGTAGCCCTTGAAAGCCTCACTGCCTGCTTGTGCTCCCTTTTCAAAAAGCTGGTTTCCTTATCTTTTTTTCTTCTTTACATTGCATTGCAGAAGCGTTCAGGGGCCCTACTATAATAATGTCAACCAAAAAAATATGTTTTTAATATAAATGTAGCTGAGGTGTTGCAGAGATATCCAAAACTCATAATGTTCCACAGTTTCATGCTTTTAAGAGGGATGATTTTTTATGAGAATGTGTTTGGCTGAAAGATTCTAATGTGCTGTAATGCCGAATAAGATCAACATTTAAAATACAGTGGAAGCATTTTGAGAATGTCATTCTTTACTAAGCCCGAAGTAGCTCAGGATAATCCTCATTGCTGCGTTTCTTTGGAGCTTTACATGAGAAGTTGGATGGGAACAAAGCTGATGTTATAACACTCCTATTTTTACAAATGTTGATTTGTTAATGTGAATTGTTGTGTTGATTTTATTGCATATATACTCAGAGATTTTGCAGTTGGTTAAGTCAGAACTGAATTGAAACAGATTAAACAAGTAAAAGGAAAGTAAGAAACATGTTAATTATGTTGAACAGCCATGCTTCAAAAGGCATAAAGTTGATTGTACCTGTTCAGTTTCCAAGTTGGAAAACACTTTGGAGAATCCCGGCTGTGGCTGCTGAGACTTTGGTGGCTGGCTGCTGCTACAAGGTGTAAATCTTTAGTAGCTCAAGAAGTCATTTGCAGTTCAAGAAAATGGAGATCCCTGGGATCTTTCCTTCCTCTGTAGTGTAAAGCTAGACAGACTAAAGTGATGAAAAAATGTTAAATTGATGAAAGGTTGAGATTTCCCAAAAGTGCAGTGTGAGGAGCTCCTGCAAGGGTCTAAAGGGTGTATCGATGAACAAAGATTGCTCTGCTTTGTAATGAAAAAGAAAAATTGATATCTCTACTGTTTTAGATTCAGAGTTCAATTCAATTCTATTGGTCTATGCTATTCCCATAAAGAAGTGAGCAAATATTTACCTGCAGCAAATCTGTGTCTTAGTAGGGTGTAACAGCCAAGCTTTTTCTTGGTTAAAATCAACTGTGTCCTTTTTTTTTGGTAAAGACAAACAAACTCACGCTGATCTGGATTAATTGCTATGGTAAAATGCGTGAGCGCAGACTGGCTGTCAGCAGCGTTGAGGAGGTGCTGCGTGCTTGGTTGCATTCACATTTGCTTGTGGAGCATCTTTTGCATTGTGAGTGACATCCCTCACTCATGATGTCATTTACTGTTCAGATTTTTGAGCAAAAAAATATGGAAGTCCCACAACAGGCACGATGTCCCTTGCCATGCTTCACATGCTGGAGCACCAGAAGGAGTACTGTGGGGATGGTGTGAGAGCTATGGTGGGCTGTCCTAGTGATTTACAGAGAAGGGTGGCACAAGGCTGCATGGGCTTACTGGGCTGGCATGGCCTCAGGTCACCAGGCACTGCCAGGAGACATGATTTAGTCTAAGGAAGGTAAAACAGGCCTTCCAGGTCTGTGTGACCCCCAGGGCATCCTGCTGCAAGGTCTCAGTAGCAGGCAGAAGTGATGAGGCTGGAGAGGCAGTAAACTTCGAAAGGAGATGAGCAGGGAGCAGTATCTTAATCCATTGCTGGTGTTTGGAAGCTCTGGAAGTACATTGGGACTACGGCCTTGAAGGGGAAGGCATTTTGCAGCCGGTTGAATTGCTAGAGGGAAGAGATGCCATCCAGAGGGACCAGGAGAGGCTTCAGAAGTGGGCCTATGCGAACCTCATGAAGTTCAACAAGGCCAAGTGCAAGGAACTCCATCTGGGGCAGAGAAGACGCATCATCAGTAGGCTCGGGAACAAGGGGATAAAGAGCAACCTTGCAAAGGACTTGGGGATGCAAAATTAGACAGGAGCCAGCAATGTGCACTTGAAAGCCAGAAAGCCCAGAAAGCCAGTTGTATCATGGTATGACTAGTAACTGGAAGGAGACGACTCTCCCCCTCTGCGCTCGTGGGACCACACCTGGAGTACTGCGTCCAGCTCTGGAGTCCCCAGCATAAGATGGACCCATGGGAGCAGGTCCAGAGGAGGGCAGAGAGATGATCAGAGGGCTGGAGCACCTCTCCTATGAAGACAGAGTGAGAGTTGGGTTGTTCAGCTTGGAGAAGAGAAGGCTCTAGGGAGATCTTACTATAGCCTTCCAATACTTAGAGGGGGCTTATAAGAAAGCTGGAGAGAGACTTTCTACCAAGGCCTATAGTGACAGGGTAAAGGGCAATGGTTCTAAACTGAAAGAGGGTAGATTTGCCTTAGATAAAAGGAAGAAATTTTTTATGCTGAGGGTAATGAGGCACAGGAACAGTTTGCCCAGAGAAGTTGTAGATGCCCCAGCACGGGAAGTGTCCAGTGCCAGGTTGGATAGGGCTTAGAATAACCTGTTCTAGTGAAAGGTGCCCCAGCCTATGGCAGGGGTGTCGGACTAGACGATTTTTAAAGATGCCTTCCAACCCAGACCATTTTGTGATTCTATGAATTTCTGTGTGTTTTGTTGTGAAGTGTCATACAGCACCTCCTTGACTTCCTGTCTTTGTGAAAGTTTTATCCACTTTTAGTAGACATGTAGCTCCTTAGTTATTAGCCTGCACCTCTGCTAGAGAACTGGTATTCCTGGGGCTGAGAGCAAACCCTTCTGGCCCTAGGAGCTGCCCAGGGGGAATGGCCTCTCCTGTGCTCTTGAGCTGCCTCCATGGATGTTTAATTTACCAGGAGAGACACAGCCTTAGGGAATGTCTATGCTGTGCAAGTAAAAGCCATCCCAAGTCCAGAGTGAGCTTAGCACAGGCTTCCTCAATGCTGGCTGCATGAAGCTTGGATGGAATCTTCTTCCCAAGGACACTGCTCTGTGCTTCTGGGCAGGTTAGCAGTGTGCACATGTACGCTCTTTACTCCATTTCAATACCTTTCAGTGCCAAGGTGATGCATTGGGCAAAGCTGGGATGGGAGCATGAGGCTGTGTGTGTGTTGTGTCTGGGGGCCTGCAGAGCCCCGTTTGTTTTCACTCTAGTTTGGACAGAAGACTAAATTTCTGGCTTTCTTTGCCATTGCGTGTCTTGGTGGAGACAAGTTTGGTAGAGCAGCGCTATTCACTTTTAGGGCAGGACTTTAAAATTGCCTTCGCTTTTCAGCTTGTTCTGCTGCAGTTGAAGGTAGTGGTGGGTTACTGAGAGGTTTTGAAAGCCCTGTTTCAAGAAGCTGTGTAGGTGCTGAAGACAAGTAACCATAATTACTATGTATTAATAGAGCACAAAATTGTCTGTCAAAGAAATAGCATTCATGGATCTTTGAGGCCAGGTGGGGTAAATACATCTGTTCAGTATGTCTTGTGCTTTGTGTAGGGTACAGAAATAAAGGTAATGATATCTACAGCGTAATAGCTTATGGTTAAGCTAAAATACAAGCTCCAGAATGTGTTTGATTGCAGACTTCAGGTGGGGTCCAGCAGCATATTTTCTAGCCAAACTGGACTCTGACACCAATGGCCCACATGGTCTGGGTTGAGTCTCTTAAACCAGTGCATTGTAGAAATTTCACAGCTTTGGCCTCTGGGCTGAGGAGTGGCTCAGCCTGTGCACAGTGAGATTCTGCGTGGGGCTGCTTACCCTGGCCGAGGCTCCGAGACTGCCTGTGCAATGGATGGAGATGTCTGCTTGAGCAGACAAGCTTTGAGCTGTGCCCTGCCTAAATTTTTTCTTTTGAAATAGGGATCGTCTCCCTTCTTGAGCTTACACGGCTGGCATGTGGGACAGAAGGGAGGGACTCCCATTCCACCTGGCCACCAGCTGCAGGGTTACCCTCACTGCTAAGAGATCCTCCTAGGTTATGCCCCAGCATTGCAAATTGTGACTCTGGTGGATTAAAGAGCCCTCCCCCATCAGCAATCCTTAGTCACAAGCTGATCTGCCACCAGCTCACTTCTTATTCTTCTCTGATATGAGCCCGGTGAGTGATGGATGCTCTTAGTCAGGGAGCGACACAATGAGGTCTCCCACTGGAAGACGGGTTTTGTGGCTCACCGTGATTGACCAGGGCTGTGGCTCCAGCAGCTCCCCAGCAGCCCTTCCCTTTGCCGCTTACTAAAGCCACTCAGGGACACTGCGTCACTCACATCACTTCCTTTTGCCTCGCAGCTTGGCCAATCAGCTGGTCTTGCTCCAGGCAGGGAGTGGTGTTTGAAGGGTGAGTAATGCATCCCATGTGTTTCCTTCAAGCCTGCCGGCTTATGCTTCTCAACAGTGGCATTTGTGGCAAGGGGAGGCAGGAAGAGGCTGGCTGCTGCTGAAGTATTGGTTGTGCACCTAGGCAAAAATGCTGTTTTAGAGTCAGTGCTTCCTTTATCTGTTCATGCCAGATGTGTACGTCACTGTCAAGGGCAGGCAAGGAGACAATTTACCCAGTCCCTGCTGTGATTGTTGGTATTTAGGAATGACTGAAGACCGTAATCATGACCACACAGTTACAACACTATTAATAAACTGTGCAGTCATTAGGTGAAAGCTCCTGCACGCATTTTGAGGGCGCGCGGCTCTAACGCCTCCTCCATGTGTGCTTTCCTGCAGCCGACAATGCCAGCCACCCTTTCCACCGCCGCCAGCCCAGCAGCACAGCCCCATGTCCTCGCAGGCCACTGCAGGCCCTCTGCTCCCAGGCTCCTTGCCCTCGCTGCCGGCCCCTGCTGCTGCCCAGACTCCGACGCTACCGGGCCAGCAGCTGACACCCGACGCCTTTGCCATAGTGGAGCGGGCACAGCAGATGGTAGAAATGCTCTCCGAGGAGAACCACGTGCTGCGTCAGGAGCTGGAGGGGTACTATGAGAAGGCAGACAAGCTGCAGAAGGTATGTGGAGAGGTGGGGATGGGGCCTGGGCAGAACAACCATCTTGATGTCTTTGGGTTCCCCAAGGTGTTCTTCATAGTTGTGTCACTGCAATGGGGATGCACCAGTGGCCATCTATAAGCACTGCCTCTCCATAGTGGTTTCCCAGAACTGTAATCCTATGGCTTATGGGCTCACTTGACTTTAGGGCAAAACAGGGCAACCCATCAGATATCTCTCAACTGGGTATTTTCCCCTCCCATCCTTCCATGCTGGTCTCACTGAAGCTTTTCCTGGAAGTCTCCCACAGGCAGAGTCTGCTCCTGTTGCAGCTGGGTCCTGCACCGCCTGCACAGGTGTTAGAGCTGCAAGTGAGGACCATTTCAAGAGCACATGCACATCTGTCCCAAGCAGTCTTGTCCACCAGAATAAGCTTGTGTGGTCCTCTACGCTCTTTGGAAGTGTAACAGCCATCGATGGGCTCATTATTTGGAAATACATTAACTGCGTTGTCTTAGAGGCTTTCACTGACTGCTCTGTGGGTCTTCAAGAACTGATATTAGACATCCATCTTTGAACATGCTGGTTTTAAAAGCACTGCCCCCTTACCTGAAAGACCATTTGGTAAAGATTTTGCTCAAAACCCCTTTTTTAAGAGATCCTGCACCCTCTTTTCTGTGTGCATGCAGGTTTTTTCAGTGGAGAAGGGCAATATCTTGAGTGCTCGGGTGAGAAGATGAAGAGTCCAATCAAAAAAGTAGAAGTTGCTTAAAACTGAGACTCACTAAAGGCAAAGCAGAGATGCTCCCCAGGTCTGCTGGCTTTGGGTTCCAAGGGTTCAGACCAAATAATCTGTTTAGGATCCTACACTGCTACTTTATTTCTGTTTTCCCACCACTTACACACCAAGGAGCTTAGACTGCAGGTCTTTTCTCACTGAATTTAGGAGCCTAAATAGGAGCTCAATTTTTTTCTATGGTGTGCAGATCAGTGTGTTCTTGGAGACACCCTTCACAGGAGAAGAGGCATCTCTGAGAGACTATGTCCCAGCCTCAGCTTGGGGAAAAATCTGTGACAATCTGGTCAAACAGGTTAGAAAAAAGACCCTTTGTTTTGTAGCTTCTGCCTTTTCTGCCTTCTCCTCTGCAACAAGATGAGCTGAGTTTATTCACAAACTTTCCTAAACTTAGTTGAAAAATTTTTGCAGCAACGTTAACTATTTGTGAAGACATCTGCAAAGACTTTAATGCTAATTTCCCTGTGGCCTTTGCGGGCAAAAAGAAATATTCCAGCTATTAATTTTACAAAAGCTGCGTTGTTCAGTAAAAGGTATTTGAGTGCAATGCCCTATAAATATTCCAATTTTCTTTTTCACTCTTGGAAATTACTCTCTCTTTATCTTGGATGCACTGCAAGGCGATTGCATCAGACACCAACAGAAAGGTATTCAAGCATGGGCTGAAGTCTCACTTCAGTCAACAGAGCATGGACTTGAGTCCCATTGACTCTAGGGGAATGTAAGTGAAGTATTAAAGTGAAACACATACTCAAGTGCATTCTTTCTTCAGGAAACCAAATCCTTAACGCATGGTATCCCTCCCATGCTGTTGTTTGAACACAAGGACAGGGCAGGCGCTCCTCTGTTCCCACAGTTTCAGCTGAACATCACCTCTGAAAATGTGATTGAGTTAAATTACGTACTTTGGGTGTGAAAACTCTTCCCTCTTATTGGAAGTGGAAGGGTCAGGAGGAGTAATTCTTGTTTGTGCATAACAGTTTTATTCTAGGTACGACCACCCTCCCATCACTTTTATTCATTATAGAATAGAAGAAATTAGAGAAAATCAACTTGACTTGTAGGACTCCCTGGGCATTTGGACGAGCAGATCAGCCCTGAGGCTTGTCATATTCTCAGTTGTGTGTGAACAGACTTTTTGGCAGAGAGCTGCAAGGTGATAATTCATCCTTGTTTGACAAATTGACTGGTTTTCTTACCTAAAAGGAGTTGGAAGAGGAGTTGTGCACATTTCATTTTGAGCTTTTTTTTTTCAAAAGCAAAGTATTACTTTCCTTTTTCTGAGAGGTGTTATCTTGCTGAAGTTTAATTGCCAGGCTGGGCTGGCTCTTCCCCATGCCATTTGTGTGGGTTGTTTGAGTGGGTCAGCTCCAGGAGCTACCAGGCAGAGAAGAGGCTGAACTGTTTTTTTTCTCCATAAAAGAAGGAGAAGGAAATCCCAGAGCTGTTGAGAAACACCGACAGAATTTGTGGCTGTTGTTCTGCTCTCCTTTAATTTTATTCAGTGCTGACGGATGTTCTTTCTTTTCGTACAGTAAGTTTTTGCCTTTGGGGCTGCAGGAGACTTGCATGATGATGTGTTTTGGGAAATAACAGCATATAAAGGGCCAAGCAGAGCCCTTGTGGTAACCAGCAGTGTTGGGCCAGACTGCTGGGCTGTGGAAACCCACTGCTGTGCTGGCAAGTCTGCTTTGCTGTGGTAGGAGTCTGGCTGCAGGTTCCAACGCAGACAGTGGGGTGACAGCTGCAGCATCCCTGGCAAATCACACCTAAAGCTTAATGAGAGGGACCTAACTCCACAGCAAGTGGAGGTGAGCTTGCACCCTGGCTTCAAAAATCACGAATCTGTCCCAGCCATGACTCAAGAGGCCAAAAAAGTGCCAGATTTAGAAAGGTATGTGGGAGGCTATATATATCTTGTGGTTTCCAGCCTGTGCACATTATCAAGCTTTTCTCCACAAACACAAGGGCCAGGCATGCAGGAGCAGATTCCCACATCAATGTTGATCATTCCTGCAGCAAAGATTTTACCAAAGCTGTATCACTTCACATGACATTATCTTATTAAAAAAATTAGTTGGATGGATTAAGCTGGACAGCAAAACTCTGCCCAGAACTAATCTCCTGACAGCCTTTTTGGCTCAGGTCTTAAGATGCAAGTTCACTGCTAAGGGCTTCCTCTGCATACCCTGCCTGCAGTTTGCCAGATTTAGAGGAGATGAAGTTAGGAAGATTGAAAAAACAAAACAATTGGTTCAGTCTGTTATAGAGAGTTTCCTCTTGTATAACGCAGTCTTCAGTCAAGGATGGAAGGAATGAACCACAATAGTTTAAAATTAACATGAGGTCACAGCTGAGCTTAACATACTTCTAGTGGCATACACAGCTTAGAGATAAGTTTTGTATCAGGGACCTGGCAGAATAATAAATGTTGCCTCCTACAACCCTTTCTCAGAGAGCATACAGCCCACACAAATACACCGTTTCCTTTGTTTTTCCTCTTGGATGGCATTAAAGCAGCCACCTCGGTCATAGAGGAAAAGCAACCAAACAGTTCCATCAAGTCCAATGGGGTGTTGTGGCATGGTGAGCTGCCCCTCAGGGCATTTGCAGGGGTCCCTACTGCAGGAGCCTCCAGCATTATTGGGGCTTCACACCATCCTCTGCCAGGGAAATGGGTCATTTGTAGAGTTGGTGCCTGGTGTGACACTTGGCATGAGCATCGCCCATACCCTCACGTCTCATCGAAACACGCTGGACAAACCTTGGGGCAGGACACATTCCTGCAGGGCTTTAACAGGACCTCTCTCTCTTTTCAGTTTGAAATAGAGATTCAGAGGATTTCAGAAGCTTATGAGGGCTTGGTCAAGACCACCACTAAAAGGGAGTCTCTGGACAAAGCAATGAGAAACAAACTTGAAGGAGAAATTAGGAGACTTCATGACTTCAACAGGGATCTCCGTGGTATGTTACAGTTGCTTGTGTGTTTTTTTTCCTCTGGTTGACATGATGTTTCACTTACTAGCTCCAGAGCAGCAGGCTTTAAAACAGTGACTTCACACACTATTTAGATAAATGTAATGAGAAATAAGGCCCTGCCCCTTGGCATAAGACAAAACTGCTGTCACCCCCCTAGTGGCAAAAAAGCCTGGCAAAATATGAGAGTCAGTTCCTGATGGTGCCTTTGTGTTCAGCACTTGCAAACATGGATTTGAGAGCAAGGCCACCAGTCACAATGTTGTGTCCAGATCTAATGACCTGAAGAGCAAATTGCAATGTAGAGCAATGCTGTGCTACCCATAAATCTCCAAGTTCAGTGCCTTCCCAGACCAGTGGCAAGTATCAAAGGCCATCTCTTTTTTGTATTAAAAACATAATATTGAGGGTGTATCTTTTTGAGGAAGGAAGTGGAGCGTATGTTGGATGGTTGTTGCCAATCCAGGTTCCTGATGGGGTACTTTGGTATCTGCTCGTGCAGTGAGATGCCCTCTGCAAACTGACTTACCTTTTTTGCAATGGTGCAGGATGCGTCATATGGTCTTTTTGGAGGAGGGAAGAATCTGAAGGCAGGATCTTCCCTGGAAACTTCCCAGGAAATTATCCCTGGCTACAAAATACTCCTCCTGTCCTGTGGGCATCCCCAAGGGTTGGCGTCAATGGGGTGGGGGCTGCCTTCCCTCAGGAGGCACCAGAGGCAGCTCTTCACTGCAGGAAAGCACCCATCCCCTTGCAAAGCTGGTTAATTCAGATTGCAGATGCCTCGTTGCATATTGGACAGTGTGAGAGATGAACTGCCTGGACATTTTAGCTGTGAATGGCAGAGGCTTTTCCCCCAGTTTCTGTAAATCTGAATGACACAGCTTCATGGAAGAGGTCAAAGGCTTCATATTTTATGTATGTGTCAGCCTCCATTTTAATGTCCTCCTTCAGAGAGTCTATTTATATTGCTCTGCTGGCATGCATCTTATTTTCTTGGTTGGCCTACAATTTTATATACATATATTTATACTTAAAGTATTTCCTGTTTTCTGCAGAACGACTGGAGACGGCCAATAGGCAGCTAGCTAGCAGAGACTTCGATGGGCACGAGGATAAGGCAACAGAGGGCCTTTATGCCACTCAGAGTGAGTACTGTGCCTATCTGTTTGGAAGGTACATATATGTATATGTGTGTATATATAAGCATACACATGGTGAAGTGGAGCTAATACTTAGCTATTAATTGTTATTGTGCTTGTGGCTTGGTTTTACTCAGCTGATTCATCACATACTCTTATTTCAGCTGCAGACTGGATTATGTAGGTAGGGGTTTTTTTCTCTCTGAGCATCAGAACCAAGCAGTGTGAGTTAATGGTAACACAGCTTATTTTTGAGAAATATTTATCTGAAATTGTGAAGTGTTGCTTGCAGGGTCATCTCTAGAGATGCTTGCTTCTAGGAGAAGCGAAATTCTTCTCTTGGCTGGGAAAAGCCCAGAGCAGCCTCTGCTGACTAGTTAGCAGTGCCATGGTTTAACCAGCAAGAGAAAGAGCAGAGCTGGACCATACCTTTCACAAAGGACTGAAGAGACAAAGACTTTACAGCTTCTACTGTATGAAAACATCTGTTTCCAACAAATTTTAGGCTTCCATAATGACTGGGCACAGTGCTGCAGATTTCCTTGCCATGCACTGATGTGTGTGAGATCATCCAACCCAAAACCCAAGCAGCTGGATGCTGTGTGGCAGTGTGTGACTTCTTTTGTATCCTGACCATCTTTAGCACACATCCAGAAGGGCTTGATCACCTGAGAGCTGCGCAGTATCTTGTAAGCTTAAATCCTGTTGAAGCTCAATGCTGCATACAACTAAACCTGTTTTATTTATCGCACCAAGAGCTTCCTTGGAAGATGAGCCGCTACTGCAGTGCAGAACATCCATCTCCATTAGCAGTACAGTGTTTGATACTAGTCAAAATGCTTCACCACCAGCCTTGCAATGTCCACCAGCTGCTCCAAGTGTTGGAAAGCCTTCTCCTGGCTCCCACCGGCAGCAATGATGCCAGCACAGCTGATCATTTGGTGCATGTGTGTACAAACCAGAAGAGAATCTGGTGATCTTTTCCATGACATGTTAGCTTTGCCATATTAGCAGATGGCATAAGGATGTGTAGATACTGCTGTGAATCCAAGGGGATGATTTGTTAAGGAAGTAGCATTACTGTGTAAGTCTTGTCATCCTTGGGAAGAGTTCAAATGGGATAAACTGCAGAGCGGAAATTGGAGACTGGGATCTTCTCTCTTCATATAGAGACAGCCTGGTAGTGTTGCTATATACTGTTGGCTACAAGGGGGAGTTAAATCTCCAAGATGGACTCAATTTGAGTTACTTTCCAGTACATAAACATGCTCTGTGCTTCTGCTGGTAAATAAATAGCAGTGAAACTTTGTGCTGTGTGCTCAGCGTATTACTGCAATCAATTCACAGCTTACAAATAAATATAGCTCTCCAGATCCTATCACATAAGACAGTCTGGATGCTTGGAGTGTCTCCTGGCTAGGCCAGAGAGCTAAATGTTAGCAATGCAATGCAGAGTGCTTCCGAGAATAGAAAAATGGGCATGTGTAAAGCAGGTTCTCTTCAGTTATGTTCTGTGGGCTGCTGGGACACTCACAGAGATGATACCAGGGTGTCTGCCTAAAACACCCTTCTGAGAGTCCCTAAAAGGTTTTGCTTGAAGTCCTCTGTTGCTGACTACATTTATATGCTGATGATTGTGAGTCTTCCCCAGGGGGAGACCATGACTGAGGTTGGGTTGCACCTCACTGCCAAGATGGGGGTTTTCACAAGCACAGTTTGTACCCTCCTCATATCTTTTAGTGGGATACACTGGCAGAAAACTGAGAGTCGGAAAACTGAGTTTTGTCTGCCATGTGTACACTTGTCTACTGAGATTAAAATAGCCATTTTTAGAAGAGAAAAAAATTTGTCATGAAACTGATTTTTTTGGTTTTTTTTCCTAAGGGTCACACCTTATTAAGACAGGTATGTAAATGCAAATCTTAATTTTCATTATGAAGCAAAAGCATATTTCTAGTCCCTATGTATAACCCAAGTTATACAAGAAAACTCCAACATTGACAGGTTCCTAAAAGTTATCATTTTTAAGCCACTCTCATGATGAGTTGAAGAAGGAAAGATAAAATTCTTGAGGTTGGTAATGCTGAAAACAAAGTTTTATGTGGTAAAACTCCAGTAATAGGAAAAAATCCCTGAAAAACAAGTCTGGCAAAGCAGGATGTGCAACGATCATTTCTCAGTTCCTCACAGAGCTCTCCATTAGCAATGCAACAGTGCAGAGCAGTCGTGAGCTCTGAGATGGAGACTGGAGGTGACCAAAAAATCTTATTCTTTATAATAGTAATAGGCGAAGCCAGGCCACGTGCCTGGAAATATTCAGTGCTAGGCATTTGTGCCTAAGAGAAATGCTACTGTTGTATCGGGGTAGGAGAGAACTCACACCATATTAATTTCCTGATAATTATGTGATGTTTTGTCAGGGAAAAAGTTTATTTTAAGGAAAGACATGAAGCAACAACTGATGAAGGCATATATGCCGATACCGGCAAGAGAAGAGACTGGAAGGAGGAGCCTGAGAGATTCTGTGGGAAGGGAGGGACAGGAAGATTGAGGATGGTTTCAAGGGTATAGGGCAGAGAGAAAGCTTATGATATAGCATATCATGGGAAAATATGTTTTGGTGAAATCTGAGAGTTTTGTGTGGTTTTGTGGGATTTCTGGACTCTGGGAGCAGGGATCTTCAGAGAGTCTGTTTTTTTGGGTGTCTGAGACAGATTGAGGTCTATGCCTATCCACATGGCTCTTCACCTGTTAGTGGGGGTGCATGGACAGTTTTGGCAGTGTGTTGATAGAGCTTCATGCTCCATGGGAATGTTCAGTTCATGTGCTATGAACTTGTGTATCTATCTCTGTCCCAAATATCCTAGGCAAATAAATATTCCCATTGAATGTATCCAGCCAAAGAAAATGCTCACAACAGATGTTTTTTAAAGTGGGGTTTTGGACAGACTAAGTGCCATTTGGTATTAAGACAGGAAATAATCAGGAAATAATCTGTGTTGCTGCTCCAGGCCTCCCTTGTCCCAGCGTAGTCAGCTTCAAACCACAGCTACAGAGAGCTGAGTGAGGCTTGGGCAGAGGGACAGGTGGACAGATTGGCAGACAGTGGCTTTGGTGCTCCTCTGGAGGGAAACCTCAATGTCTGGACCTGGTGACCTGGCACTAGTCAGGAGTTGCAAGGCTGACAAGAGGCTAAATAAGTCCCTCAGGTTTCACTGAGGAATGTCACGGTCACCAGAAAGCATCTGTGGAATTAGCAGCTCTTAAGTGAAGAGCCACCATTGGAAAACGCAAACCTACGTAAGAGAAATTATTAGAAGTGCCACAAGGCATGTGGTATGGGAGCCAGTCCTGTTTTCAGCAAATCTCCTGCAGCCCAATTACTCTCTGGCTGCCATAACTTGATATATTTTCTGCTGCCAACAGTGGTTATTTTGTATGAACAAGGACTGTCTTTAAAGTATGTCCATGTTACCACTCTACAACATCACAGCAAGGAGAAAGGCAGCTTGGGATGTATTGAGATGGTCATTAGATTGGTCAAATAAGTTGATATTCGGATATAATGTGTAATAAGCTGGAGTTCACATCTGAGTATAGGGAAGAGATGACACAGATTGAGTGTATCTTTTTATCTAATGTTTCTGCTACAAAGCAGGGTCAGTACTTATCTACTTTTGGTGTACCTACTCAGCTTGACAACTCAGAAAGCCTACTCGAGAAGCACTGAAGCAGATTCTTGCTTAATCTCCTTTCTTCTACGCAGCCAGAACATAGATGCCCACAGTGTGTGGAGGTACAACAGGCAGAGGCAGTGGGTGGAAAACTATGAGATTACAACTGTGAACTGCAGCAGAGAAGCCATTTGGGACCTGTTCTGTAATGGGATGTGGCAGTGACCTACCAGAATATAGAAACAGTTATTAACTGGAGTCATTTAGTTAAAATGGTGTATGCAAGGGTAGTGCAGTAAACCAGTATTTTTAGACTTTAAAGATACCTTGTATGCACTTGAAGAGAACTTAAGGTATGTTCAGCCAAGTTCCTTCTTCACTAAAAATTAATGCAAGTAACGCATTTATAAAATGTACCCCTAGCATTTTGCAGGCTGAAGCTGACATGGAGAAGTGTTGGGAGCTGTTCAGGAAATTTTTCTTGCCAACTTTCTAGTGGTGGTTATTTTGTGTACAGCATTATTTTCCTCCTTTGGGGGGATAGAAAGCTTGCAGGGCAGGCTGAGTTCTTCAAGTTCCCTGAAAGGAAATTGAAAGTGAAGATCCCAAGTCCTGTTTTGCTGTGTGTTATCCCCATTTGTAATATGAAATATGGGTTTCAGATCTGGAGCAGAGCACATATGGTCCCAGCACAAGATGGTGAAGTGCCATAGGGCTGAAATAGCATTCATCTTCCAGCTTTCTCACCTTCACATTAGCTCCTGGTTAATTTGCCCACATGTACACTTTTGTACAATAGATAATAATGTTTCTTCTGGTCAATACGATTGAAGTAAATGTATTTGCATTGAAGGAAGAGGTCTGCATGTGCAGTATAAAATTCCTTGCCAACAAGGGAAGATTAAGGCCACGTCTTACCAAGACAGCCCATGGTGGCAGTCAGTGGCGTGGTGTGCGTAGCACTTACTGGGCTTTGCTTGTGGGCTCTGCAGTGACCAGCATGCCGGTGTTGCTGCCAGGGTTTATTGTTACGAGGTGCTGAATTCCTCCTTTAAGGATAAATGGGAAGATGGCTGGGTGGCTTTTGCCTTGTTCCACATGGCTCAGCTCATATACATCTGCCCTTGCTACAGACACCTACTGATGGTGTGGAAATTAAATCTCTTCCCATCCCACCTGACATTAAGGAAGAATGTGGCCTTGCTGGGGGTAGTTCAGGTCTGAAATTGACTGGTTTTGGCCATGTGACATTTTCTGATCCTGCTTGGGGCTTCCAGCTTGAGTGGTCACATTTGGGTGGGATGGGCTAGATGTTTAGGGCAGATTTTCCACATTTCAGTGTTTTTGGAGAAACTTTTCATTTCAGTTAAAAAATAATAAATTCTGTAATGCTGTGTTTTAAAAGTCAAAAATCAAAACAATGTTTAATTGATGCCAAATTAATTTTTGGAGGAAATTTTCCTTCCTGGAGGCTTTCCAAGTGCTCTATTTTTGTTGTCATTAAGAATGAAGGCCAGATTTTGAAATCTCATATTTCCCTGAATGAAACCTTGATCCCCTGCTTGCTCCAGTCATTAACTGTTTGCATTCTAACATGGGGGATCCAGTGATTGGCCTGTGACACTCATGTTCCCTGAAATGGCTTCTCAGGACTGTCAGGGCAGAAGCAGATGGAGCCAAGCATTTCCCCAGGCAACTTGCCAGCAAAGTCAACGGTGGGCCTGCAGTTTGTTGCTGAAGAAAATGATGTGAGCAAAGCTGACTGAATTTAGCCAGTTGTGTTTTTTTAGCGTAGTTTTAACTCTTACCCAAAAAAGGGATGATTTTTCGGCACAGAGGTTTAGTCTTGCTTGTGATGTGTTAAGGTGTTTAGTAGGAGAGGAACGCTGATCACTGGATCCTTAGGTCATGCTGGTCTGGAAAGTTACCCCAGGCCCCTGTGGAGCTGAAATGTCTCCCACAGCCTCCATTTCTCTGCATGCCCAGAGAAAGCCTGTACAGATGCCTTCTATCTTACTCTTCCTTATTGCTTTCCCCTCTTTACATTTTCAGGCTGTCCAGCACAGATTGGTGTTTATTATTTGGCTTTTTCACATTTTCTGTATGTCGTGATCTCTGTCTTTGCAAATAAAAAGGACCAGGCACAGCACAACCCACATCCGTGGATCTGAGGTTTCTTGCCCATTGCAGAAGGGCAGCAGCATCCAAGCTGACAGCTACAAGCAGCCCTTGATGTAGGCTATTCTCAGGCAGGGCTTGGGTGTTGTATGGGAAAGGAGTAGTTGGTGCAAGCTAAAATTTTGCTGGGCAACGTGCTAGCAGTTCAGCAGAATGGAAAGCTGTGAGGCGGTGCTCATGTCCACAAGCTCTGCTAGTGCAGATGAAGCCCAAGCTGCCACTCGTCTCTGCTACTGGTTGTCATGTAGGGGTGGGCACTGAGGGGCTGAGCCCTGGCAGTAGAAGCTCCTTGCCGCTATGTCTCAGCTCTGTATTGTAATGGCCCTACTCGCTGCTGCTTCACATAATTTTTGCTTTTCTAGGAAGGTGGCAGCTTACCTCTGGTATATGATCTTGGGCCTGTGAGCTGTCCTTATGGAGTGGCTCTTGTTCTTGTCTTTCTTTCAGACAAAGAGCACTTGAAGGAGAAGGAAAAGTTGGAGATGGAGCTGGCAGCTGTGCGTTCTGCCAATGAGGACCAGCGGAGGCACATTGAAATCCTTGACCAGGCCCTAAACAATGCGCAAGCCAAGGTCATCAAACTGGAAGAGGAGGTGAGGCATGGACAACATTTCTGTGCTCTGAGGGTAGATGTGGCTTGCAGTTAGGCCTTTCTCCATCCAAGTCCTGATTCTCTTCTAGCCACAGTGTGGTAGGTCTTCCTGTTTCGTTTGAACTGACTCTCTTATAGAGAAAATATGTAGTTATACAATACTGAGACAAACAAGCAAGCAAAGGAGACCACAACCATAGACGTTTCCAGAGCAGAGCCTTCAACATGTAACCAAACTCATTTAGTTGATTGATGGCTGAGGTAATGGTACAACTTAACAGAAAAATCTAATTAAAAATCTGACCTGGGACTGTGATACAGACATGTGATGTTGGTGCATCCCATTTCTCTCCAAAGAATACCAGGAGGCTTTTGAGATGTGCACAGCAACACAGCAGTGCAGGGCTTGGTAACTTTACATCTTAAAAGATCTGGCTGGAGGCAGACTGACCAGGATTTAGAGGTACAGAGAGCTAGAGGTTTTATTTGAGAGCTGAAGAAAACCTATCATACCATGTCTCAATTTATTGTATTCCTTAAGGACCTTCAATCAGGAGGTGTGGATTTAGTACCTAGTTCAAGGTCTATGCATTCTAGCATGTCATTACAAAGTGGCTGAATAAGGGAATGTTTTAGGTGGCAATGCATGCTCCTACAGTCATGACATCATGCAGAGGATGGGAAGAAATACATTTAGCTCCCATCTGCTCCATAGACTGTCAGTGTCGTGTTGGCAGGTAACATTGACTTGCTGAGTACACACTAGCGAAGGCAGAAGCATAAATGCCGATTCCCATGCAGGTGGTGCAAAAATCTACCTCGTGCCTGCTGGCTTGTAGTAAATATGTTTGCAGCCTTAAGGCTCTGTCTCTAAGAGCTTGGCAGTAGCCGGGGTTTAGTCTAGTCATCCAACATAAATGTACCTCTACTGGATCCTGGATTGTGGACTGGCAGAGCTGAAGAGAGATTAAAGCTTCCCCTCTAGAGAGCTCCTAACCTCCTGCCAGGGCGTGGCAGATGTTATGGAGGTGGTAACTTCCTGCCCGGGGCACTGTATGTGTTACAGAGGGGGTAACCTCCTGCCCGGGGCATGATAGATCTTAGAGGTGACATATATGAAAGTGACGCAACAGTATTTGCCAGAGTTTGTCTGAGAGAGCCCTCAGCCTGGACAAACCCATGTTGACATGATAGTTTTTAATTGCTTTTTTCATTCTAAGGGGAGTCCAAATGAATTTTAGCCCAGCTGCCATGTTTTAATTGTTCAAGGCAGTATCAGGCAGCTTGGGTGAAGTGCAGTTAATCTGAGGCTGCTGGCATGTGCCCAAGTGCCTGTGCTCCCTTTCCCTTGTTTTTGTCCTGTTTCATAGCTAAATTAGAGCAACTTTTCAACAGTCTCCAGTGTTTCTGGATCATAATTTGACACATGCAGCAGATATAGCTGTAATGTTAAACCTTCAAGTTAAACCAGGGATTTTTACTATAATTGGGAATATATTGAAGGAAACACAAAATCACTCAAATCCAATGACTTATTGTTAACGGAGCTCTAGCTCATGCACTGCTTGGTAAACCCACACAGATTTCTTCTATCACCAGAATGTAATTAAGTTTAACAGCTTTTTAAATCAAGCCTTGAGAAATAAGCAGTAGCTACTAGGTTGAATCAAGATAAGACAGTGTACTGTGTAAATCTTCATTATCCTGAGTGCCTGCTAGTAGAAGGATTTAATTCAAAAATATGTAGGTGGCATTAACGCCACGTGTCATTTAGGAGACTGCTGGTGGAATTGTGTTGTCTGATCCATGCTTTGGATAGAAGACTGGATAATTGGAGAGGGTTCAGAAAACAGCTGTAGAATTTATTTGGGGCCCAGAAACTGTTCTTTGCTGTGAACAATTAAAGTGTAGAGGTGGCTGAGCTCCAGTCCATGCACATGAGCATGAATCACAGAATGGATAAGGTTAAAAGGGCACAGAAGGTCATCTGGTCCAACCTCCCTGCACAAGCAGGGTCATCGTAGAACGCATGGCACAGGATTTCATCCAGAAGGTTCTTAAGTATCTCCAGTGAGGAGACTCCACAATCTCTCTGGGCAATCTACTCCAATGCACAGTGACCCTCACAGTAAAGACGTTCTTCTCGTATTCAACTGGAACTTCCTGTGCATCAGTTTCTGCCTGTTGCCTCTTCTCCTATGGCTTGGCACCAAGAAGAGCCTTGGCTCCATCCTCGTGACCCCCTCTCTTCAGATACTTATAGACATTGATGAGGTCCACTCTCAGTCATCTCTTCTTGGGGCTGAACAGCTCCAGCTCCCTCATCTATTCCTTGTAAGAGAGATGCTCCAGTCCCTTTATCATCTTTGTAGCCTTCCACTGGACCTGCTCCAAGATCTCCATGTCTCTCTTGTACTGAGGAGCCCAGAACTGGACATAGTGCTCCAGGTGTGCTTCACCAGGGCTGAGTAGAGGGGCAGGACCATCTCCCTCTACCTGCAGGCAATGCTCTTCTTAATGCATCCCTGGATTCCATTGACTGCCTTGGCCACAAGGACACACAGCTGGCTCATGGACAACTAGTTGTCCACCAGGACCCCAAGGTCCTTCTCCACAGACCTGCTTTCCAGCAGGTCAGTCCCCAGACTGTGCTGGTGCGTGGGGTTATTCTTCCCCAGGTGCAGGACCCTGTATTTGCCTTTGTCATATTTCAGACCATTCTTCTGTGCCCATCTCTCCAACCTGTCGAGGTCCTTCTGAAGGGCTGCAGAGACCTCTGGGGTATTGGCAACTCCTCCCAGCTTTGTGTTGACAGTGAACTTGCTGAGGAGGCATCAGCCCCTTCATCCAAGTCACTGATGAATAAGTTAAACGATAATGGACCCGGTATTGAACCCTGGAGGACACCACTAGTGACAAGTCTCCAAACGGACTTTGTGCCACTAATTATGACCCTCTGGGATCTGCCTTTCAGCCAGTTCGCAATCCACATCACTGTCCACTCATCCAGTCCACACTTCCTGAGTTTACCTCTGAGGATATTGTGAGAGACAGTGTCAAAGGCCTTGCTGAAGTTGAGGCAGACAATATCCACTGCTCTCCCTTCATCCATCCAGAGATGGATGAAGAAGGGATTGCTGTGTAGATAGATTAAACTTTGCTATATAACTACATAAAAAGAAATAATGAGATGCAGTGTTTGGGGGCTGCAGCTGAGCAAATCAGGCTCGAAATAAAGAGTTAGAGTAATGAACACTGAAGCAACCTACTTAGGTGATAGTGGGTTCTCCATCTCTGTAAGAGTCTTTCACTCAAATCTCATACTGTAGAATTCTATTGCTCAAACTGGAGTCACATTTCTAGTGTAGATATTTTTCCAAGACCTACTTATCTTTACTCAGATTTATTTGCTTGGATCATCCCTTTTTAGCCTTAGCTCTTCTTCATCTTGATTTTTCTAATCCCTGGGACAAGGGCGCTGTTCAGGCAAGTTTGCTGATCTTGTGAATAAGAGAATTGTTTAATTAAATGCTTCTCGCTCTAGCAGATCACAGTTTGGAAACAGAACAAGAAGTAATTTGCTTAAATTGCATAAGAGAAATCCAGATTAGGCATTAGGGTAAAAGTTTTCTGGCAGTAAAGGAAAATAAACCGTGAAGTAGTTTGCAGGGATAGGTTGTGGAGTCCCTGCCCCCGGGGGGTTTTGTAAACTGATTGTATAGACATGTGCCAGGTTTTAGGTACAGTTGATCCTACCTTGCAGCAGGAAGATGGACTGGTACCTCTCCAGGTGCCATCCAGCTTTTTTTTATTGGAGTCTGCGTGTCTGTGAGGTGTTAGAGCTTAGTATCACATATCTCTGATTGTAGTCCCTCCTTCCTTATGGATACGCACTTCACTGACAACCCATTAATTCAAATAGCAACATTTTGTACTTAATTTTTTTAATGCATGGGTGATTTTTTTGCTTATGAATCTACATGCAGGATAGAAAAGTCAAGAATTGGCTCAAAAATCTCCCTGTAAATTTATGAATGTGAGAACTGTCTTGTTGCATATCTCCTACAAAATTGTTTTTGAAAGCAGAGGACACATGAGCATCACTTCACCCACATGGGCAGAGGTGCACTCATGTGCGAGTGTGTGAACCCTGGGGCTCAGAGGGCCGCTCCAAAGCCAAATTGTGGCTGCTGTGATACAGATGGACCCTACAACTTCTGGCAGGACATGGGAGAGCAGATGAGGGACACTGAGGAGCTCCCTACCCCCCTCTAATCCCTGCCGGTTCAGCTGGGAGGTGACACAAACACCTTCCTACTGCCAAAATTGCACATTCAGCAAGAAATCACTGCTGTGTCTGTCTTGCCAAGTCGTGAGCTCCTGAGGAATGCAGTCTTCGTGCTGCTGCCAGAGACTAGTGGGGATTATAATCTCATTAATTTTCATGGAAAGCCCAAGGAGCTGTAAGCATTAGCCTGGATTGCAACAGAGCTAGAGAGGTCACACTGCCAGTTGTTGGCTCTGCCTGGTGAGGTTTGTTTAGGCCAAGCTTTGCTTTTGCTGCAAACAAGCCTGTATTTCACTTCAGCTGTGACATGGATGGATTTAGAGTGGCAGAAGAGGAATTCATACCCCTTTTGGGGTATGCTTCTTGAGCAATCTCTGGCTGTAAAACCCTGTATTGGAAAATCCTTGTGTCATGTTTACTCCTTCAGTAATTGCATTGTATACGTAACAAGGGCCCAACTTCAACTACCAGGACATCTACAGATCAGCGTGGACAAGACTGTGAGCAGGATAGAGCAGGTGGAGCACTTCTGACTGCTGGCACTCTGTTCCACATATGTTGAACAAATATGCAGAACTGAAAAAAAAACCCTCTCTGTTCGGGTGCAGGCAATGTGCCAAGTGCCACCAGTTAGTAAAACCCACCAGGATTTCTCTTAACTTGGTCCAACCTCTGTGTTTGTCCAAAGAGTATCCACCAATGTGATGTCTCTTGCTTAGAAATGGCCAGGGGAGTTCATGGTTAGCAGATTCCCAGTGGTTGGAAGGTGTGGGCAGCATTCCCTTCTAAAGGGGTAGCACTGCCCCAGCAATGCCTGCTGTGCACATTCCCCATTCATCAAAGAGGCACCATGCTTCCCCAAGGGAAACTCTCAGAAGCAAATGGCTTGAGCCCAGTGCATGCCTGCAAAGTGCACAGGGGTCCCAGCAGCCCAGGGTGGGGGTGCAGGGCCCTCCAGCACTGATGACCCTCTGTACCCCACAGCTGCGCAGGAAACAGGCCTACGTGGAGAAGGTGGAAAAGCTGCAGCAGGCGCTGACACAGCTGCAGGCAGCCTGCGAGAAGAGGGAGCAGATGGAGCGGCGGCTGCGCACACGCCTGGAGCGGGAGCTGGACTCACTGAGGATGCAGCAGGTGAGGACGGGGTGGTCTGTGCAGTACCCCAGCACAGGGCCCTCGGTGTTGGTTTTAAAGAGGGATGGTCACTTGCAGGCCTGCTAGCTGCCACCTTGCTTTTGAGTTCAGGTTGTTGGGCTTTCCTCCCAAACCATTCCTTTGGATGGGGTTGTGGATCAAGTGTTCAAGGTCATGTTGCATGGGGCTTTGAGACACTTGATCTTCTGAAGTTTTGCCTGGCCATGATGAAGGGACTGGATTTAGAAGATCTTTGAAGGTCCCTTCCAACCCCAACCACTCTATGATTCTTACTCCTGATCTTCAGCAGAGCATGGGGCAGCTCTGCTGTGGGGCTGCTGGACACGGCCGAGCCCTGCCTGCTGGGAGGGCTGGGAGGTCCTGGTTTCCCTGCAGGTAGGGCTCTACCCTTGCGTGGGGAAAACATCCTTCCAGGTTTCTCTCCAGCAATGACATTGTGAAAAATCAGCTTCCCATAGAAGAAGGAGAGGAAAGGTGCAGTACATGTGGGTGTGAGATTTAGCCCACAGATTTTGGCTGATCTTTCATTGAAAAGCAAGGTGGGATGATGTGGGATTTGGTAGGAGCAGGACCTTGGGCTATATTTGTTCTGTGCAAAGCTTGATGTATGTGGTTCACAGAAACCTCAGACCGTGACAGATCTGGAGGCAAATGGTATAATCTTCAGACAATAAATTATTTATTTATCAGTCCAGTCCAGAATGGGCTATAAGTGTAGATTTGCATTTCTCTGTGTACCCCCTTGGTTTTTGGCAGCCCTATGTCCTTAGAGGGGTAGTGTTGTGCTTGTATTTTATGCACAATCATTCCTTTGTTATAACTCCTCCATCCCTAAGTCCCAAATTCCAGTCACCTGTGAAAAGGAAAATACAAAAAGCATAAGGAGGTTGCAGGAAGAATTGTCAGGCTGCAGCCCGCACTGAGTGCCAAATACATGGGCATTGGCTCTGGAGGAGGGCGAGCAGATGTGCTAAATGTATCAAACTACAGCTTGGGGAAGAACCAGCAACATAAGCAAAGCATGATGCTCTTGCAATTCTGAAGGGCTCACTCATATCTGTCATCGCAGGCATCTGCTGCTATAACCTTTCCTTATTTATAAGGCATTAGTGGAAACCAGAGCAGCTGTTACACAGAGCTTGTGCTGCCAGAAAACAGAGGGGCTGATCCTGCCAACAGGATGGGATTGGGAAATAGCTCTACGGTGAGTGTCAGTGGTTTGCAGAGTCATCAGGTGGCCACACCTGAGAGCATCCCCTTCTTGCCAGCAGCCCCAGGGCAGGGCAGATCCCCCCAGAACCCTTCCGCTCTCACAGCTGATTCCTGGAGACCCTTCTCATTCATCTCGACTCTTCCATGCTGCCATCTGAGTGTGTTAAGTCTTTCTTGCCCTGTCCACCATGGACTTGCTGTTCAAGTCTTGTTCCAGTGGCTCTTCAGTTCCCCCTTAGCCAGCTTTCCTCCAGTTTAACAAATTAATTACTTGGGGTATGACATGCTAATGCTGGTGTAGATGAAAGAACACTTGAGAAACATACAATTAAAATTCAAGTGAAGATAAAACTAGAACTAAGAAAGGCTGGAATATAGGGACAAGTTGATATGTAAAGTAACTTGTGATGGATGTTGCTGCAGTCCTTGTCTTGGGAGTTCAGGCTACATCTGTTCATTTTGGCAGAAAATTCCTCTGTAACTTACAGATTCCTTTTTGGCACTGTAACTAGCATTTGGATTTTGGGTTGACACAGCTCTCAAATGCCTGTACCCATTCTGTCTAGTAAGTTTTAAGAGGAAAGATACTCTAACTTCTTGTCTCACCTGTCAGCTTTGAGAGAAGACTTTGGGGGTTTTTTTACTGTTGTTATTTATACTTTTCGTTTATGAGCCACAATGCTGCAATGAATCATGTGGCATCAAAATACCCCAGCTTTTTGCTTCAGAGCTATCTTCTCTGAGTTATTAAAATTATAGCCACTGAGACATTTTCTCATTGCAGAGAAAAAAAGGGGATTTTTTTCTCACTTTTAATGGAGTCAGCAGAAGAGATACAAGGAGACAGTGAGGCAGAGTCTATTCTATCCCTGGCTTGCTGGTAACTGAGTCCAAATGGCAAATCTTCATTATCACTGATGAAGGAGTTGGACCCAAAAAACAATCCCTTTGAGTTGGCATTGCAGGCTGAGCATGCAGGGCTGGCAGAGCTTTTGACTCAGAAGACGACAAGCATCCATGATGTCCCAAGTTGCCATTTGTAGACCAGGACCATGCTTCCAAAATATTACCTTCCTGCCAGAGATTTGACAATATTTTTGCAGGAGTAGAGTCACAGCCATTGCTCCCAAAGGCCGCTCCATATTGCAGTTCCAGAAAGCAGCTTCCGAACACATTGTTACTGCACCAGAGGCAAAGGCTGCAGCCTTTCTCTGGTATCTCTAGTTTCTCGTAAGCAAGCAATAAGTGTCTAGAAGAAGGAAATGTAGTTTGGAAAACGGAAATGGTTGCTGCAGCCCTCACTGCAGTGTGATGGTAGAGCTCCGCCAGTGCACATTCATGATGTAGCATGGATGAGAAGCCAGCACTCCTGAGACACCATTTCCAGTTTAGCACAATATTGTGCACCATGCAGTGTAACAAATCTCTTGTATTTTTTATTTAAAAATTCATTTATTTCTACTGAGTTCTCCTGGAGCTTCACACCTTTCCCCTTGGCACGTGCTCATCCCTCTGCTGAACTGAGGACCTAATCTCCATCTGCCTCCACTCTCTCTCTGCAGTGAGAAGAGCTCAGGGCAGCTACCCATGCTGCTTAGGTGACTTAATTAAGTGCTATAACTGGGTGAGATAAATCCTGCCTGGGTAAGCACTTTCTTTTCAGCGTAGATGCTAAGAGTTACTCACCCATTGCTACTTGTCAGCATCCCATGGGAGCCACCCCGCAGTGCCTCCAATCAGAAAGTTAGCTGCTGTACCACAGAAAGCATCTCTTAAGGGCACATGAGAACTAATGTACCAGAACAGGCCAGTGTAAATGCATGTCTGGGGTATTTTCCCAGCTGCTGTTGTAAATGGGTTACATGCCGCTTTTTTTTCAGCTTTTATGTATAGGTAGTAACTGACTGTCCATAGTGAGCACTGCTCAGCCATGGGATGAAGTCGCAGCAAGAAAAATATCTTTCAAAGCTCCATTGCTTCTTTTTCCAACCAGCTTTTTTCCTGTTTTTTCCTTGGTGTGAGGTATTCCATAAATCCCTGCAGATCCAGGGAGCAGCCTGTCAGCATGGTCTGGGGAGCCATGTGCTGTGGTTGCACATATGGTCAACTTTCCTGTTCTCCTGCGGGCTAAGGGGTTTAGCCTGGGGTTTCCACCTGCCCCTGTCAAAAGACATGGGGATGTCTTTGCATGCTCCATGGAATTGGGGAAAAACAGGTCAGCAACTCCCATGCTTGGCAGGGGATGAATGTCTGTTGCTCTTTCCAATGGCAGAGGCAGGGCAGCTACCAGGCAAGCAGCCTTCCGGAGCAGAATGCCCCAGCCCTGATGGAGCTGGTGCGGGAGAAGGAGGAGAGGATCTTGGCCCTGGAAGCTGACATGACCAAGTGGGAGCAGAAGTACCTGGAGGAGAGTACGATCCGGCACTTTGCCATGAATGCTGCAGCCACAGCTGCAACAGAGAGGTAAGATGACCTTGCTGAAAGTAGGCAGCTCTCTTCACCATGGAAATCATGGGGAAACAATACAAAGTGGGTATTTTCTTAAGGCTGGATGTTGCTTGCCTTTCCCTGCTGAGTTGTGTCACCAGGGTTAATGCACCTCTCTGTGGTATCATGCCAGTGATATACAATATTTGGTTAAGACAGGATTTATTCTTCTGACTAGGTCCAAAAGTTTATCAGGTCTAAGCACCTGATTCAAGCAATAGCCTCAATGGCAAAGTCTCAGGGTGCCAAATTACACAGGACAGGTAAGTCAGCTCCTCCCAACACATCAATGGAGTGAGAAGGGCCTGTTGGTATATGACTGCATCCATTCCATGGCCTGCAACACAGTTGTTTAACCTGTTATGAGGGAAATTTTGTGGCCTAAATCCCCTCTTTGACTGCTTCATTAATCTTCAAACTAAAATGGTTTTCCTGATAGCTAAGCTAAACTTCTATACCGCAAATTACCTCCATTGATTCTTGTCCTTACCAGATGTACACGATGACCAACAGATCACTGTTGATGTTCAAACAGCCCTGTAAATATTGGAAAGCAGATATTCCTTCTTGTATCTTCCCTGGTCTGAACTAACTTACTTCCTGACATGTCCTAGTGTAAACCCTTTCCCACGCACATTGCATTTGTCTGGACTATCTGTCTCCAGTTTGTCTGCATCAAAGCATGGTGCCCAAAAGCACAAAAGGCAGTGAGACTTTCCAGCGATCAGGAGGATGGAATAATTAACTTCTGCCCCCAGTTTCTTAGACACCAAATCCTTAGAAATTATCCTAAAAAGAGTTTTTCCTTTGAAATAAGTTTTAAATGCATGACTCAGGATGGTCCTTTCCTTTTGCACTTCAGTTTAGGCAGCAATTCCCATGCTTTTTTTCAACTAGCAAAGTGTAGAGCTTTGTTGCTAGTTTGCAATGTAGTCTTGCTGACTTGGGACCCAGTGAGTGAGTCCCTCTGATGTCTGGCCTTGTTCCTCAGGATGGTTGTTAGCCCTGCATGGGTCACCCATGATTTCAGCGTGCTCTCTCTTCCTTCAACCTGGTTAAGTTAATGGCATTAATGACCAAACCCAAGCCAAGAGTAGCCTGCAGCAAGATGACCCAATGCCAGATAGCCCTCCACTTGACAGGCAACCATCGCTAGCTTGCTCTTTGAACATGGGTTTGGGGTTTTCTTTGCAAGTGCCAATCTCACTTGCAAAAGCCACCCTCATGGTCTCAGAAACCTGACTCACTGTGGTGACCCTCTTTGCCAGGGATGCCTCGGCCCCAAGCCACTCACGCAATGGCAGCTACGGCGAGATGGCGTTGGAGGTGCGGGGCTGGCAGGAGGAGGAGGAGATCGTGCAAGCCAACCGGCGCTGCCAGGACATGGAGTACACGTAAGGGGACCTTGTGCCATACCTGCTTGTTGTGGTGTTTGGGCTGGGTTCAGATAAACCAGGATGCCCTTCTGTTTCTTCCTGCATGCCTGGAAAGGATGAGCTTAGCTTTACGTTGACTTAGTTTTGCTCTTCAGTGTTAAAACAGGGATTAAAGGGTTGTTGTCGTTAGATAACTTCCTTCCTAACTTCCTGTGACAAAACTGACATTCTTACCAAACAGAGGCTGTTCTACGATTAAAAGTAGGTTGGCATGCAAGGAAGCTGAGTGCTTGTTTAATCTCTGTGAAAATCCCCCTCTGGAAGCAGGAACATCTGGCCATAAAAGATGAAGTTGTAATCCCATTCCTATGTAATCAGCAACATGAGGGCATTCCTTTGCCTTGCTCTTCGCTCCTTGCCTGCTTATTCCTCTTTCTAGATACACTCAGTTTTCCACATTCAAGTTGTTTCTTCAGTGTTGGCTTCCCCACAAAAACACAAGTCTGCAGACACTTTAATAAAAAAGGTGTATTTGTTGCTTGTGGGAAGTACCAGTGGTTGTTTTTACTGCGTTTGGTTTTTGTTTTCCACTCACAGATGTAAGATAATCCTGCTTCCAGGGAAGTAGTGGAGTTTTGCCATTGACTTAATTAAAGATAGATTAGCATCTTGTGTTTTCATTGCAAATTAGACATCTGATTATGAAAACTAATGCCAACGTGAAGTTACTATCTGTCTCCTTTGTATATATAGGTGTTCCAAATGTGGCATTTTAGCTTTCACTGCTGCACAAAAGCTATGCAGATGCATTGTACTATATATTGTACAGCACAGTCAAGCTATAGTCATCTGACTATCATAGTGTACGGGAGTTTTTTTAAATATAGTTTTGTAGTCTTTCAGTATGATTTGGTGCTAATCATTCCTGGAGAAAAGTCTCAGATAATCCCGTTTTTGAGTGATTTGAGTCTTCAGGGTCTGTATGAGAGAAGTAGTGAGCTTTTCTCGGCTCTGCACACCATGTGCTGATTGTTTCTGCAGCAGTGAGGGAGAAGCAAGAGCCCAGCCCAGCTGTTAGATAAATGAAAAGGAACCTTTCCCCTGGCTTCAGCAGGCCTTTACTCCAGCTGACAACAATTTTGGTGAAGGTAGCAACCTGCAGCCCAGTTAGGATACTACCCTCATTGCTCCTGCTGGAGCATTGATAAAGTGACAGCATAGATGGGTTCAGTTAACCTTGCAGAAAAGTTTTGCCTTAATAGCTAGAAATGCTGTCTGTTTCGAAGTGTGTGGTTATCCTTGGAGGAACTACTGGGAGCTGCCTTGTCCAAGTAGCTCAAAAGCAGAGGGGACAGAGCAGCAGGACATTTACCTTGGGACCTCCCTGCCGCCCCAGGGTGTGGAGCCTTGCTCATGTAAATGCCTTTTCCATTCCCGTAAGCAGAGCGTTCATATTTTGCCAGAATAAAGAATCTCCATGCCAAAATAATTGAGAAGGATGCCATGATCAAGGTCCTTCAGCAACGGTCACGAAAAGATCCAGGGAAAGCTGACAGTGCCAGCCTGCGACCAGCTCGGTCTGTCCCCTCCATCGCCGCTGCTACGGGGGTGCATTCACGCCAGACCTCGCTCACCAGCAACCAGATAGCTGAGGAGAGGAAGGAAGAGAAGCTCTGGAAGGGAAGCATAGGTGAGTTCAGCTTTTGTTTAAGTTTTGGCTCATCCATCACTTCATCCTGATCCTTCTGCTTGAGCTTAGCAAAAGTGCCTCGGCACACATTGCCCTGACAGCTCATTTCCAGATTACTTTCCATGGTAGAATGTGTGTCCTTGGGCTTAAGTCAAAAATTAGTCAGTTTTAAACCTTGCATTGTATCTTAATTATACTTTTAATCATATTAAATAATTCTGCATTGATAATAGAAAGACAGAGTTGAAAGAAGTCCTCCCAGATACAAAAACATAATGTTTACAACTTTTTGGGAGTAAATAACAAGTTTGGGCTATTAAAAAAAGCCTGATGAAAGTTAATCAAAAGGGTGAGCATCTATGTGTGTAGGACTGCATGATGTGGCAGCTAAATGGGAAAATGAGTGTAGGACTGCCTGTGGGTTGGGGCTGCATAGGATCGGTGTGCGGAGGTGTGCAAGGCTGTGCCAGGAGTAAGTGCCACTGGGATGAGTGTGCAGAAGGGAACACAGGAAGAGGAACTTGCTTTCAAGAAGCTACTTGTAGGGAAGTACTATATGTATTTCAGAAAAAGAGCAACAGGTAGCATCAAGGGTAAAAGCTAAGCCAAGCTAAGGGTCTGGAGACATACCCAGACCAGCACCTTGTAGCTAAGGGGTGGGGCAAAGGGACAGCACTTGCATTTGAGCCAGCATGTGACTGACCTCTATGTGTTCTCAGGGCTGCTCTTGGGGAAGGAGCACCACGACCACCCACCAGGCCCCTCGCTGCCTCCTCCTCTGCCCTCCTTGTCGTGCATGCCTGTCCCAGTGCCAGCAGCCTCCCACGCGAAGACGGCCAGCAAAGACAGCAGCACCCAGACGGACAAAGCTGCCGAGCTCTTCTGGCCCGGCACTGCCTCCTTCCCCGGCCGGGGACGGCTGGGTACCACCCCATCACACAGCCCAGCTCCACGGGGCCCGGGGACACGAGTGGCCTGCGAGAAGATGGGTGAGTTCTGCCAGATCCTCATGTCAGTGCAAAATGTCAGCACCCCCCCGTCTGTCAGCAGATCCCCAGAGACACCTCAGTATTGATGGTGTGTATATGTGTGTGATGCTATTACAGTTTGTTAGGCAGAGTGGAGGTTTCTCCAGGGAAACTAAAATTGTATAGAGAGAACTTTCCAAGGCTGCCCAGTCTGGCTTTGCAGAGCTTCATGCTCAACAGCTTCTGTAAAGCTCCACTCACCTGTGGCAGGCAGAGTTTGCAGCAAATGCAATTATTCATGCTGCCAGATATAAAATTGCCGAGATCACACCTTGAAAACACTCCACACCTGCTCACATACTCAGACTCTTCTCTTTTTTTTCGACTAAAACCATGGTTAGTGAAAGTACCATTTTCTCCCTAATTTTTAAAGGGAAGCTGGAGGGAATAGTATGGAGAAAGTGAGATCTTGTTTTAGGGAGGATAAAAAAATTAAATTATAATTATTTTTGAAAGGTGGAAACTGCTGGTTTGCAGCCCTCTTTTGTGCATGTTATTTTGAAAATACTCATTTCCTACACATTCGTCTCCTCTGAAAAGCAAGCTTTTGATCTAAAAACATGCCATGGTATCATTAAAGGGCTGACTATCACTGAACTAGATGATCTTTAAGGCTCCTTCCAACCCAGACCATTCTATGATTTTAATTAAAGAGGTACTTTGGTCTGTATCTCTTAAATACCATCTTTGTGCCTGCCCTTGAGGTCTGCGCACACTGACACACCTGCTCTCATTGTGCAGGGAATTAAGCATTACATGTTCTCAGTGTCCTGAACAAATTGGGTTTCAGGATGTAGGACATACAGTTAGGACATGCCCCACCTTTGCTTCCCCAAAAATGGGTTGATAGTTGCTTTGAACAACTTGCTGTTGAACTTGAGCTGAAGACCAACTTTCCCTTCTTTCCATTTCAGAGAGCTCCGGCCACACGAAGCTGCCTGACAGCAAAGGCAGAGTGAGCAGCTTGCTCCACAAGCCTGAGTTTCCAGATCAGGACATGATGGAAGTCCTCATCTGAGCAGAGGACAACATCTCTGGGGTTTTGTGTGTGTACAGCCAGGTCCAAGATGGTCCTCGGTGTGCCAGCCTTGAAAACTAACCCTTACAGTTTGAAGGAAGAGAAAGTTTTTGCCCGAAATGAAGCTTGAGTCTGTTATGTGTAGACTTTGGACCAGGCGAGAAGTCAAGAGCGCTGAAGAGGAGCGATGAAATGAATGTCTGGGATTTTCTAAACAGAGAGGGGCATTGAAAATGGAAGATGGTATGAGAAGGGGATCACTGAGGCAAAAAGAAACTGGGTTTTCTGGCATAAAGAGAAGGTAGTGAAGTTACAGACTGGTTGCACACTGCCGCTCTGTTTTCTTGCCTCTCTGCAGCCAGGACATGGAGTGAAATCCTGTCTCCTTTGAGGCCAGAGGGAGTTTCTGAGTAACCCAGAAAAACTTACATCTTCCTCAGTATCAATGCATTTCTCAAAAGTTTCAAAGTCTCAAAAATTTCACTGCCTAGTTTTTGTGAATAATTGCTCTGTAGGTGTACACGGCAGGTTCTTGTAAGTATTTATTTGAAGTGGCATGGTGTGGTTTTCCTGGGCAGGCAAGTCAGGTGCCTCTTTCCTGGCTGGACAAGTGTTGCTCTTGTAGCTGGATTTACAGTGCAAATATTCGTGTCTTGCAACAACTCAGAGCTTGCTGAGACTTCTTTTTTTGGTAGGAGCAGTTGTTGGCTGGAATTCTCATGGAGGATAAATGTAGGGGGAGGGGGAGCGTGCTGAAGCAATCCCTGTTGTAACCATAGGAAGGTTTCAGGAGGGAAAGTTAGGGAAGGATTCCAACAGCTCCCTAAAGGGCTGTGCACTACAAAGTTCCTTCAGAGGGGGGCTGCATGGTTGTGTTTTCAGAGGTGTTAAGTGCGTGAGATCAGAAGATGCCTCTTAATGTGCACTGGTTCATAGTATTAGAAGAATCAGTGTGCTTGTGGTAAGAACAAGATTTTTCAATGCCTACAGCCAAATCCTACTTTCCTTGCCTGCTGTTCAAGCTGATGTGAGACTGGGCATTAAGGGGTGTGGAATCAGGCCGGGAAGGCTTTAACTGCAAAGCAGTATGTGACCATCATGTATTTTCTGCACTGAGCTGCAGTTTCTTTTCACCTTATTTTACCTAGGATGGAACATTTCTCATTTTCAGCTTTGTCTCTGAATTTAGTAAGAGGTGGCGACTGACTGTAAGGCAGTTAACTCACCAGCTATGTTAATCATGACATACCATTCGCTTTGTGCATTGCACATGCTGATAGGGAAATTTTCCTCTGTGAGGTATTTTTGTATTGGCTCTGCAGTTCCTGAACCTTGTGGTGCACCGTAATGACTTTAAGAAGAACTTGGCTTTGGGAAAAAGGTTGATGGGATTTCATGTGAAGCTGCCTAGAGTGGAAGAGTGATGGGTGCTAGTAGTAATCGTGTGCTCAGGGCTGGCTCAAGATCACCCCTTCCTGTAGGTATGAAATCAGAGCCCTTGACCGTGAGAACACCAGGCATTTTAAACTCTGCTTTTGCTGAAAACTGAAGACCTTGTGAACTCAAAGCCTTCACGGGCAAGAGCCTTGTGGTCAATACTGCCTGGCTGATACCTTCCTTTTTTAAAGAAAAAACCTGCTATGTTAAAGCTATGCACTTATTTTTGTGTGTACATAGAATTAGACACGTGTTGTTGTCACCCTCTTTCTGATTTTTGCACTTGTTAAATGCAGTAGTGGTAGGTAGGTTGTGTGGGCAAGCAAACTGTGTGTTTTAAGTATTAGCAGCTTTGCATTGTGAAACCAAATGTGTAAAGCCCTTGGAAGATGTTACGCAGCTTAATATATGCCTTGTAAGATAATTTTTTTTTCCCCTAAAGTTAATTTAAACATTGTAATTGTTTGCATCAAAGCCAGGCCTGCACATGACATCACTGCTGACCCACCTCCATGGCCCTTCCTCAAGTGTCTGTGGTAGGACTGGGGTGGGAGGAAGACAAAGCAAGGGAATACAAGTAAAGTGTTGGTGAATATTTCATTTCATCATTTTTTATCCAAGAAATAAGGATACCCACGTGCTTGTAAGTCCCTAAGTATTTTATTGCCAGCTGTATTATTTCTTTTGATGAAACTGTTCAATAAGTTGTGTGCAGGTGGACAGGAAGGTGTCCAGCAGAAACACTGTTGGATCAGCGTGCATGATAAGGCTTTCAGTTGTTTGGTAGTGGTTCTGCTCAGCTTCTCCAAGTCAGCTAGAGTACAGAATTCCTCCTTCTCCTTGTGGAGACCACAATACCTCCAGTTTCCAAAGCTGTGTTTACAGCTGATGCTGCCCCAGATTCATGGTTACATATAGGAAACTGTTAGATACTGTGGTGTAGGCAACTCTTGTTGTAGGCAACAGCTTAAATAAACCCAAAGGTTCATTCTCCTCAATTGTTTTGAACTCGAGAGATGTCAGTTTTCCTGAAGGGAAGGTCTGGAGGACCAGCAGGTTGCCCCCCAGCCTGAGCACTAGCAGGACTTGTGTGAAGTACTACTGCCATAGATCAGCCCCTCTCAGCAGAGCGGTACAGTCCGTTTGTGCTGATTTTCCCAGCTCTTTGAACTGTTTTGTGGTTTTGGGAAACTGTGCTGTAGCCATTCCAGGTGACGTCGGTAACTAGTTGTAAAATACTGTCATTTTTTATTGTCATTGGTTGTATAGAGAAGTTTGTGTACAGTGTTGTACAGCTGGAGGGTTATTTGTACATAGGGGGGGAAAAGAAGAACGTTATGTGTCACCCCCAGCAAATGTTGATATTGTTGGTCAGCCAAAGATTTCTTATTCTTTGCTGTTTAAACTTGTGCCTTACTATTGTATATAATAAATGTATAAACATGTTTATTTTCTCACTTTTCCAGTGTGAATACATTCAGACTACAAGAAGAAAGACCTTTTAAAACAATTCTCTAAGCTTTGCACACAATGTTCTAAGACAAAGTGGGGATACTGTGGGGACTTAAAGGTTGCATCTCCTGTTTTTCACCATTGTTAATGAAAGGCCCCACAGCAAGTGCCGCCAGTGGGTGTATGTGGGCATGAAATCAGTGGGTCTCCAAAGCAGATCAAACTGGGAGCTTGGTCAAGCACGAAAAGTAGGATTTTAGTGAGATTATCTTCACCTGAAGGAAATGAGGGTGGAAACTTAATGAGACAGTTTGGTGAAGATCTGAATGTGCTTCAGCCCTACATTCCTGCTAAGCATAGAACTCCCACTGATTTTTTTAGTTTGTTCTTCAGAGTCTGGGGCTTCTTTTTTTGACAGGTGTGTTGGGTCAGTGTGAGTGAGGTACCTGAACACCTTGTAGATATAGATATATATAATGTCTTCAGTAAGGAATAAAGATCAGATCTCATTTGAAGCTGTTGTGCGGGCAAAGGAAATGCTCCAGCCTGGTGGAAATATTGTTCGTATGTTTGTTTATGCAATTGAAATAAATGGGGAGAGGGGTGAAAAAGTTACCCAAGTGTCTGGCTTTCAGTAAGGGAGGTTTGCTCAGCAGGCTCTCACATGCACTTGAAAGTATCTATTAGAAAATTCTTGAATCAGGTCCCAGGGAGCTGCAGGCATGAAAGGCATGAATGCCACTAAGGGCATCTCTTTTGTATGAGTTCTCCTCTGCCTGTCTCAACCTCCTCTCCCCAAATCCTTGCACATGTTGTCAACAAAGGTCCGGGGGGGGTTACAGAAACTTGAGCAGCAGTTTTGCTTCACCCCCATCCCAGCACCTCATATTCCCCATGTGAGCACAGGTCAGCCTGACGCATCTGATCACCCATCTTCAAGACATGGCAGCTGAAAGTATTTGTTGTGCCCTGGCTCTTTACCAACAAGAACAAAAATTTGGTGATTGTTGAGATTTGACAGCAAAATTTGGGGCTTATCTTGTTTTTGTGAAGGTCATGGGAGAAAAGAAACTAACAAAGGCCAAACCAGTACTAGGGTGGGAAAAGTCTCATGGCCATCTGTGTTCAGGTATGACAAAGAGGGGGCTTATTCCGTTTTTGGGTTGTGTCTTCACCACAGATACTCCAGCCAAAAATAGAGAGAATATCACTGTAACATAGTCTGCAGGTTAAGTATGTTTTGCATATTAACCTCAGGCATAGACATGCAAAGAAGCAAATTCCAGAGTCAGTTTGTTTAAACATTAAAATCCATGATCCCAAAAGTAAGTAACAGACAGGGATCTCCTTACTTGCCACATAGAGGGAGAGAGCTCAGAAGAGCCAAAAATATTAACAAAATTGACATTTAGAAGCATTCAAAAATCAAGCCCCATCCAAAATGACGAGACCTTTCCAGTATTCACTGGGATTCAGTGCACTGTGCAGCTGCAATGTCTCTTCTGCGCTGGTTTGTTACCATGTTCAAGACTTTCTCCTCCCTAAGTTTTAGAGGAGAAAGTGTACAAAAAGCAGTGAGGTGCATTCTTGGGAAAGAGATTCCTCATGTTGCTAAATGCCTCTTGTGGTAGGACTTAGGGTATGCTGCAGGGAAGCGTGCACAAGTGCAGACATCAGTTTCCAGCAGGAAGGATGCTGCCAGCTATCTGCTTGTCATCAGAATCCTCAGTCTGGAGTCTAGGTGCAACCCAACAATCTGGACTGGGCCTGAGCACTGTGTTGTGTTCCGGGACCACCCTTAGTTAGGTTTTTGGATACCCTGTGGCAGATGAGCTGCTCACCCAGAAAGAGAGCAGCATGGGCATGGGAGAGCTGCAGTGGATCGGTGGTACCTGGTGAGGTTGGTGCTGGGCTGCCCCTCCCAACCATCAGCCTGCAATGATGGGGCTTGGGAGGCCAATTACACGTGAACCCCAAAACCCTCTTCTTACAGATCGGTAGCTCTTACTATACAGAGATTGTGGAAATTTGAGAAACACTCCTCCTCTTCCCCATAGTGCAAGAGTGTTGTTCAAACAGCAGCCTGGGGGGAAAGCAAAGTGCAGGGAAGTGCCTGAGGCCGGTGCCAAGCCAGTGCTGGCACTGCGTCAACATGCTGGTTATGGGCCCACCCCTTGAATGCCAGTACCAAAACTGGTGATTGCAGTGGCCCCACAAGCCTGAAGGTAGTAACCC